TATAAAGTACTCTATGATCGATATATTGCCAATTTCTGAAATAAATTATTACATCTTGTTCATTTATCCATCTATTAGCCCTATATATCTTTTTGGCTTATAGTAAAATATATATGTTTTAAATAGGAGATTGGGAATAGCTTATAGCTATGCCTCAGAATATTTAATCCCAATCCTATAATGGTAAAAAGTAAATAAAGGGGAATAATACCAACACCAATATTTAGCACCTTACAGTAGCTTATCGATAAAATGAAGTGCAATGCATGTGTTCACTTTTACCCGAAATGGAGAATAAGTGAACAACACAAAGCAACACTGAATCAACACACAAGCAATTCAAATTTTTTCGATTAATTTGAAAATTACGAAAGCGATGTCACTAAAACAACTGTAACAACTGTAAGCTAATTGTCAGAAGGTCATGAAATTTGGACATCGACGTATCGTTTGAACATTGATAATATCTAGAAATCAATCTGTCGTTCTGTCAATTGTCGTGCCATATATATACATATGTATATGTGAGGTAATTTATTTCGTATCCTTGTTTATCTTATAAGAATTTCGATGCAGTCTTCTTTACGTTAGTGGATTTATTGTTGCTTAAAACAAATCCTGCAAGTGTTTGGACCATTGCTAAAATGGGTCAATTGTTCCATGTCGTATGTAACATCATAATATATATGTTTCATGAAACATGCTTAAATTCTATTAAAGTGAAAATGTTCAAAAATGTACCAATGTGTATATATGTTCACCTATTATGGGGTAACAAACGTCCCAACAAACATTAAATTTAATATGATAGTCCGATTGGGCAAATGCTTAATAGAGGTATGTAAAACGAGTCCATCGTCCTTATTGAACATGAATATGTTGGATTTCGTGAATGAATGAAGTACGACGGTTATATAGTCTCGATTCGGAGAATGTTTCAGATTGGTTTGCAGATAACGTTTTCTATTTTTCACAATTTCATAAGTTATTCGAATACCGAAAAAAGGAAAATGGCAGTCTATTGCAGGCAAACGAATTAATATGATTTACAGAACAACGAAGAAGGTAGGTAGGTTGGTAGAGTGGGGAATAGCCGCCATTTATCGTACGGTGAGTGTCCTTCACGTTCAATTTGAAATATTAATATTTATTTTATTAAAAAAATTGCTTTTCGTGAATGTTTTCTTTTTTTGCCTACGCGTTTCTCTTTTATATACTTTTCAACAAGCTTTACACTTATCCAACGAATGAATCAAGCGAAATCCTCTTATATACGTATTTAATACACAATTGCTCAGAAATTGTTAAGTACACGATTAAAGGGCTTGATTTAAATATAAAATTAAAAAAAACAAGAACAAAAAAGAAATCATATAAATTTTATTTTTTTCATATAGTAAAAAAAAATATATATATATATATATATATATATATATAGATATAAAGTAAAAAGCGATTTAATTAAATTTAACATATATCTCTTTGAGTCCACTGATTCACTTTTATTCGTTATATGCCTGTTGATATATCGCCCGTACATAAATTGTAATTAAAACTTATCCAATATAGAATTTATTGAAAATGTCAAAAAAGGTAAGAAAAAAATGTGGGGAAAATGTGGTAAACGTGAACGAAAAAATGAGAAATGACTGTAAATGTGCATTTTTTCCTTTTGTAAAATTTCAATTAAATAGATTTTTATCTGTCTATGCAAATAGAGACACACGCATAAACTTACACGCGCACACACACACACACACGCACACTTGGACATACTTGCCCACAGTTTTTAATGGCATTAATAACCATTCATTAATATTCATAATTTCAATATACATTTTTTGTCAAAACAAAATCAAAAATAAAAAAAACAAAAACAATTAAAAAGCTTATAAAGCTGAGCACAAAATGATTAACCAGATTGACGAGCGCGCATAAGAACAAAATGAATGAATTTTCTATAACAAAAATAATAGTAAATTTCATTCACTCAATTACTATTTGCTGTCACCGTAGTCGATAACAGTAATAAAATCTGAATCATAGCAAAATATTAAAAGCGATTCAAATGAATTCGTGAACTCTAGAAGCGAAAGAAGTGCAAAAGAAGGATTTACACAAAAAAACTTCATGTAAACGATAGCTTTATGGTTAAGCTTAGATAATCAGTTATTCGAACTAATATCGATTACTATACTCCTCAAGCGAATTGCAAAACAGTTTTCATCTAGTGAGAATTTAGTGCAGATCAGCTCAATGTAACCTATATAGCACTTGAGTAGTCTTGCCAATTTTTACAAAGTTTATAAGACTCGCTACACAACACAACATGGTCCAGGTATGGCCAAAAATCATCAGATTAGAGATAGCATATAGTCAGTCTCATTGACCTAACATGTTATATCTGTAAACAACTAGCGACGGCATCCTTAATTCCTGGGCGTGTACATCAATTGTCCGGAGGCTTATTGCCAATTGCCAATCCCATCTAAATGAGCAAGTGGCCATTTATAAAGAAGCTTACGCGTAAAGCAACTGCCGAAATTATCCAATCTTTCCGCAATTGAAGAGACAGACCAGACCTTTTCCTTCCCGGTAAAAAGATTACACAGGACGTATGCGTATTAATGACTTGCTTAATCGAAAAGAGAACCCAGCCTGCAACGTATAGTAAGATGGTATAACTAAGTTTCTATTAACTTGTCTTTGGCCAAATTCAAGTGAAATGAAAAAACTTTTAGCAGAAAACACTGCAGAGGTGTGAACAGAGTAGAATCAAATAGTCAACTCTTCCGGGACCGAGAAAGGGACCACTAGACGGAAAACTTTTGAGAACGTATGTCATCCACAAAAGATATCAACAGATTTATTAGCTAATCTTATTGTTTTCGATCTTCCTTTACTCATAATACTTGTTTCATTATAATGACTTTAAGCGCGATTCAGCTACAGATTCAGATATTAGTTGTAAGAATGAAAAATTGGTAGACTATTAAGAAGATAAGAGTATAATATAACTCTGCATAGTGAAGGCAGCTAATAAGCCTAAAAAATGTTTATCAAATTTTCAAAAAATGTTTATGTCTTCGACAATCATGCAAAGTTTATCGTTATGCCTTACACTACTTGTTGTACAAGGCTGTGTTCAGTTTCTACGGATGTTTGCAAGACCAGGAAACAGTCAAGCCTCAATTTTTAAGATGTTTTCATGAAGTTCGGTATACTGACCTTTTGGCTCAAGAGTGGAAGCTACTTTTTCTACCACTTCCCTTGTAAGATCTCATGTTGGAAAGTAGTTACATGAATACTTTTCGGGTAACGTGTAGGTCACAATAGTCTTTTCACTTGTTTCAGGGTAAATAAGGTAAACATTTGAAGAACAGCAGAAAGGTGGCACCAGTTAGGGAAATAGATATCCAGCGAACTTGTCGGAAAACAGAAAGTTTCGGCGTAGTAAACCCTAAACTCAATTGAAAAAATTGTCACATAATACCAAACAACTTTTATATGAAAGAACCATCGCAATGCAAAGAGAATGGAAAGAGAGCAAAGCTATTTTCAAACTTCAAAGTCAGTCAAAACATCTTCGCATACAAGTGCCGGCTTCGTTACTGTTCACAATGTATCCACAAGATATCGTTGCTTAAAATTGTATCTTAGAACCAGAGGCTTAAAGAGTCAACACGATCTCCAAGTGTTTCAGAGCAAGAGGTAGATTTGCTCTTTAGGAGCTGTGATCAAAAATGATCCGCGAAATGCAGATAATGGATGGTCCCGATAGGACCGTCACGATCTTTAATAATATGTAGAAATTCATGCATATATGCTTTAGACGATCTTCAGAATGTTCAGTCCTGAGTCTTGCAAAATGAATGCCAGTATGCCAGAATGCCGGGAATAATGCCAGTATCGGTTTTTTTCAAAATTAAAAGCTCCCTTTAGTGTCTATGTAATAAATTGTAGATTTTTGACCGTAATAACCTTTCGAAATTTTCGTTCCTCACAAATTTGTGAAAACTTTTTAGTAAACTAAAGAAGTTAACTTTCTATTTTTATAGCAAACTGACGAGCACTGACCTCATTATAGGTTACATTTGATAAGGCAAACAGCTAAACTTGATTTTATCGTATAAGAATTTGTTTATTTCTGGTGACTAGTCAGTTTATAAATGGAAGAAGAAAAAAAGAAAGAAAGAAAGAAAGAAGTAAAAAAAGAAGTTAGCTTTCGTTAGCATCGAACGTCGCTTCTATTTATGCGTTCAAAGCGAAAAAAAAAAGAGTTGATTTGCTACTTATTGCCACTTGATTATTCATTCATCTAAGATCGGGCAGTGGTCGACAGGGCTAAATTCCGAGAACGAGGTCAATATATCAAATTTTCAATAGACTTCAAAGAGAAAAGCTCTGCGTACAGAATATAGACCAGATCAGCATTCTTAAGTCTTAAGTGATTTGTTGATTTTGTGCACTTACAATCGAACAAATATTAATTTTTTTCGCATAGAAGATCACTATTTGTATTTCTATTCTTCTTCTTTTTTGTTGAGGTTAGGCTTTTTTTTCAAATCAAACGTTTCAGTTTATCACTTCGATCACGATCGTTTCAGTTCGTTTTGTCGAAAAAATTTGAAGGGCTGTACGTGACCCGTCATGTTTCGACACTAAGATGGCGTAACCGAAAAGAAAAGTTTGGGCCGTCCGTATTGAAACATTTTTATGATCACTTGCTGAGACAATTCAAATGAAATGAATGCTGTAAACTGCTGGGATAATAAGACGGGTATAGATAAGACATCACATATCCGGTGACAGATGAGTAGCCATAAACAGTGTTTTGGATCAATGGAGTGGTATTCAAAGTTCGATTTGAACCAAACGTAGTTTTATTTTTTGTTTTCATTCCTGCCTTTTCTTCAAATTTCATTAATAATTCATAAATAATGGGGAAAATAGATACAGATCCCTATAAGATCATCAACAAAGTTATTGGTAACGTCAGTTAAGATTGAGACGCCAAACTGAGAAAACATTGGCATGAAATTCATTATTGTGTTAATTAGCACAGTAAGCTGTGTTGCGCTAGCAGTCGCGCAAAGTGATGGTAAACAAGTATCGAAAAAATGTACTTTTACAAATTTCTAAATTATTACCTTTTATATAACTAGGAGGGAATGTATTTGAAACAAAGGAAGCGGATAATGGAATAATTAATAACCCAACCATGGCACCTCTATTAACATCAACTTTAGCGACAAGAACTCTCCAAGTCCTCACCGTTACTCCCACAATGTTGTGTTCTAATGATTCAAACGGTAAAACAAGAAATTCATGCATTGATTCCATCGAATTGCAATCAACCTCTGATATGGCTGAAAAGGCAGAAACATCATCATCTTCAGCTGCGACAATAAAACATTTTAATAAATCGAAATCTGAGAAACCATTAAAAATTCTTGACTTGCTTGATAAGTCAAACGCCAATAGCGATTATGGGCATCAAAGAAGCGATCGAAGCAGAAAGGAACAAATTAGAAGATTCGAAGCTCGTCTACTATCTGATGGGAAATTTATATGTAATTATGGCAGCGTAGTAATCTACAGTGACTTGCCTTGCAATGAACTAACTAATATACGGGTCAGTGGTACGAATCACCATCCGCCATCGTATGAGGCTGCTATAAAACCTCAAACCATAGAAACGGGGCAAAATTATGTCAACGAAAATAAAATTGTGGCAAATGAAAATTTCGAAAATTCGCAAGAAAAACGCAAAACACGTCCGAATGGCAGCAATAAGCGTCGCAAAAACAATAAGAGGCAAAATGGAGAATTGCATAAGCAACAATATAGCCGAAAACAAAAAAGAAAAGTTAATCAAAGTCGCGGTAATAAGAATTCGAAACGTTCTTCAAAGACCAGACAATACAAAAAAGAATATGTCATTAAAAGTCATAAAGATGAAAGAAAGTAGCAAACGTTTACAAAGGAAATAACGAAAATCACTGAAATATAAATTCAAAGTACATAACATAAAACATAAAACCGCACCAAGTCTAGTACGTTTAACTTTAATGATACTCTATAGATATTAATATGCAATTTTCTCTTTAATGTATCCCTTGGGTGTTCTCCGCTTATGTAAGTTCTTCATATAGAATTATTATTATAAATATTTGAAAATATTGCAAAAAAAAAAAAAAGGAGTTTTTGGAAAAGAAATATCAAGTAAGATAATTGAAATTTGTTTAGAATGACTCTTCTATATCCACGATACGACCAGCATGGCCACACAACTAGTATCTCTTTAGCTGCATTATCCTGCTATTGACTTTGTGTGACTCTGTCGGCGCTGTAAGTCACATTTACAGAATTGAATATGGATTTTATAAACAATCTACAATGTCTTATATTATATTTTAATAGCGAATTTTTTAAATTCTTTATTCCCATTATCTCCTCGCAAAGAGCAATTTTACTAATATCCATAGAGTCGAAAGCGCACAGTAGACTAAATTTTGAAAAGAATGTCACAAAACAAAAAAAAGAATTGCGAATCCTCGTCTCGGCTCGATGTTTGGTGTGCGTCCTCTCTAATATGACCTGTTCAATCTACGGGCCTCGAATATCTAAAGTTGACCTTTTCAGCTATCTTCAGTTTTTCTTATCGCAATAATATCCAATAAATTACATCTGTAAGATACAAGGTGTAGCTTGACAAAGAAGAAAAACAAGAAGAAAAGGAACAAAAGAGTGTTGCAGATAAGACTTACCGTGATTTAGTACAAGCAAGATATGTAGCTTATGAATGGTGGGTGGTTCTGTTAAATCCAAAATTTCATGGTATCCAATAGAGCTTTTTAGCCTATTTCTCATGCCGATGTTGAATGCGTATCAGCGATGTTATCGCATAAGTCCAACATAACAGTCGTCGATCGCTCCGGGCAATTTGTATAATTGCTGCTCACTGGATTGATTGCTGTTATGTTATTGCAAACGTGCGTAAGTTAAACATTTTATGTCTATTCAAATATGATATAGAGGAAGTAAAAACATAATAGCTGTCCACGGCCCGATATTAAATAGCCTGCAGTTGTTTGTAGTCGAAAGAGTGGTCCCAATCAAACCATACATACAGCCGGTAGCGTTCGTGTTTGATTTAAAACACGTCAGTGTACCAAACTTTGTTAAAATATCTTAAAAATATGCGGCCTCTAGGTTGAACACAAGGGATATAAGGCAGGATTTTGAATCAATCGGTGTAATTAAAGGTCGATCCATCTTAAATTCTTCTGGGTTTTGCGTACATCCACACAAGCTGAATACATCGTTGTACCGGAAGTAGTGTAAGGTATAAAAATTTTGTATTTAATAATTTATTAATTTTTTTATATTATTAAAGTTAATAAAATTATTAAATTTTTTCTTGTTAATAATTAACATTTTCGTGCCTCGAATAATAATAATAATAATAATAATCAGAGTAAACATGTGACCAGTTGACAGTACATCAATATATTCATTCATATAAATGAAAATTCGGCATTTTTCGAAACTCTTAACGCATAGCACATATCCGAGACAGACAGACAGAGAGACAAAAGAAGAAAGTGAATGACATTTAGATTGTTTCCTGACGGTACTCGTTTGCTTATGATAAATATAAACAATTCATTTATTTATTAAAATGAAATTAGATACAAGCCTAGACTTATGCCTAGACTTATGCACATAAAGTTCTTTCATAATTAATTGAACGCATTAATGGTTTCCGAATAGTTGCTTGCCCATATAAGTTCTGATTGGCGAGACTGCTTCAGGCATATCATAACAGTATCTTTAGAAATTATGTGTTGTTCTGTTGATAGACTAATTCATCCAGCTGACCTCCGTAATGCGGCTGTCATGCATATTCAACTTGATGGCCAATATTGACTAAATCAACACGTACTCGTAGCTACGTTAAACTCGTTTTAATTGATCATCATCATCTTGGTGTGACATTGGTAATGCACAAACCTTTACAAGAATTGATTTTTTATACAAGATGTATATATATATATCAATTAGATTGTGAATCTTATTTGAATTCTTGCTAAGAACCCAAACTGAGGTAAATAAACTCGTAAATGCTTCTACATTGGCTATGCCTTATCAACTGATAGTCTCTAGAGAATCAAACAGGAGCGTTTATGTAAGTTTCATTTAACAAGGTATTCGAATCAATAACTCCATTGATCAATATTACGAAGGATGAGATACCACGTATAAAAACCACCGGCATTTCTTCATAAAAGGGATAATTTACTATGAGAGCTATTACGAATTCTTCCTGTTTCATAACCATGTTTCATCCACGGATGTAAATCAATTCGAATGCTCGCGCTACACTCGATTGAAATATCTTACTAAACAATAATGCATCTTCGTATGTCTTCCTTCGTACGTTAACACACTAGACTAATAGACTTTTTTCAAATTACAATCGACCATCTATCTATACGTGGGGCGTAGCATGCACTTACTTTTGTGAACTGAAAAACTTCGTAAAATAACCGCAAATATGAATATAATATGGGACGAAGTAACATTCATACATCAATCAATTTAGGAGATGAGGAGATTAAAAGTCGGACCTAGGCTTGTCGAATGAAATTTAAGTAAAACTGTCGCACAGCAATTTATTACGCTCTATGCCGTTCTATGTACTGTAGTTTCGTTGTTTGCTCTAAAATTGAAATTGAAAATATTTAAACAAAGTGTAAAGCAAAGAAGAAAAGAACGTTTAACTAAAAACAAATATTGTAAATTTTTATAGATACGATAATGCATCTGAAAAGCTAAACATGTGAATGTACTAAACTTTATAAGTTAGGTTGTTAATTTTTGGTCTTTTCATAGACCAAAGGCCACTTGGACTAAAATCGTTTAAATATAGAAGCAGACACCAATACATACGAATCTTTACGACTTTAAATGCATTTAAATTTCCTTTTTGTTTTTATAAAGTTTTTGCGTTAACATATAAATGTGTGTGTGTGTGTGTGTGTGTGTGTGTGTGTGTGTGTGTGTGTGTATGTGTGTGCATATTTATATATATATATATATTTATATATGTTTGCAACCGCCTTGTGCGTGTGTTCGTTTGTGTGCGAGATAGAAAGTTTATTGTAAGAGCATGCGGGTGAATGCATTCACTTAAGGGCTACAAAAGTCCTAAGAGATTTGTGCGTACATATAAAATACCAACCAATACCAATGTCATGTCGAGTGAACAGCAGCAATAGCAACAGCGCAGCTCACACCAAAGCAAAAGTATAAAGTTTTTAAAAGCAAAATAATGTCGTTTGATGCAAATGTGTGGAGAAAGCTATATGTGTCGTAGGATATGTATAAACTGAGGACAAGTTTTTCATTTTTTTTTTTTTTTTTTTTTTTTTTTTGTGTTTTGTTTTGGTAGGGATTCTTTATTGAAAAACAAATAAACGGTTTTTTTATTTTTATTTTTTTTTTTTTATTTTGTTTCTCTTAGAATAAACTGAAATTCACAAAATTCTCACTAACCAGGACCCCGTACAAAAGTGTAGCAAGCATACGAAAGCGATTTGCAATTGTTTGTTATAAAAACACAACTTTTCATGCTAAGCTTCGCTTTCGAACTCACTGCTTTTGCGAGTGTTTAGATGGGGAGTAGCAGGAGAGAGTTGAATGGTGGGATTAATTAAATACTATGGCTGCAATTAGGTGGCATTTAAAACGAACGGCTCACCTCAAAGGCCAAACAGTGTTTTGCTTTTGAATTCTAAAAATGCTTTAGTACCCACAAATCGTCCACAAATGTTTGGCTGTTGAAGACTACAAGCAACAAACATGACCGCACATATATTTCCATAAACCCTATATCATAGGTGGGGGTGAGCGGGGCCGAGAGCGAAAAAAGGGAATTGAGGACAGTAATAGAGAGGGGATGTACTGAGCTTCCCGTGTATGCTTTTAGTACAACTCAAATTCAACTAGACAACTATTTTATAGTAAGAGGCTTGCTTTTCTTTTTTGTTATTTTTTTTTTTTTTTTTTTTTTTTTTTTTACTGGTAATGCCAACGTGTCTATATGTGTGTTGGTTAAATATCTCTATTTATGCGTCTGGCTTGGCCAACATATATATGAACAATTTTGGCGAGGCATAACATGGTCTGAGTGCTAAGAGGGATTTTAATTACTCTTTCATGCACATTTTGCTTGTTTCGAAAAAATTTTCGTAAATGTGTTCGTAATGTTTATATATGCATTATTGTGTTTATATGGCTGTGTATGTATGTGTGTGTTTGTGCGTTTATGCTTGCAACTGCCAGCCATTACATACGACATTTGACCGAACGTTTATTATTTTCCATTCAAATGCTTTAGATGATTGGATGCAGGCTACACATATGCAACACACATGCACGCACACACACACACACAGTTGGTATAAAGCTTAGGAAAACTTACCAAAAACAACTTTATTTCGACGGTATGGTTAGAGAATTTATTTGTGTGGCTATTTTTACCGTTGAACTCAGACGGACACATAGCGACGCACGCAAATAATTAAACCCTAACAATGAGAAAATAAAAACAAAAGGAAAAAAAAAAAAAAAAGAACAGAAATATTGTATTAAAACTTCTATCGTGTTCAGCATTAGAATTGTCTGAACGGTGTCACAGTTTAAACGATAAAATTTTACATGTTCAACATTATTTGGAGTATTTTCCTCCTCCCAACCTCCTGTGTTCGTATGTATTTGTGTGCATTTTTGTGCGTGTGTTCCGACTAAACGTTAGCGTTGCGTTACAGGTGGATTTAAAATTTCATTTTCCAATTTTTGTTTTCTTTTTTTTGTTTTATGAAAGTTAATTTAATTTTCAGTAAAAACGCTAAAGGTTTTTGATGTGAATTAAAAAAAAAAAAAATTAATAAAAAATAAAACAAAAAAAAAAACGAAACTTGCTCCTAAGGATGATTTTCGGTGGTAAATGTTTAAACTACACGAAACAATTCTGTATGAATTTATCGTATTTAG